CTCTGCTCTCCTCACCTCTCTGTCACAAAGTAGCAGTGTATGTGGACTGTTCTGCAGGAACTGTGTCCTTCTACAGTGTCTCCTCTGATAAACTGATCCACCTGCACACCTTCAACACCACCTTCACTGAACCTGTATATGCTGGGTTTAGAGTGAAGCCTGACTCTAGTATCCACCTCTGTGCTGACTCACAATAATGAACTTACTGTGCAGAGAAATATTCTCACATTGGTGTTTCACACTTTTTCTCACTTAAATATTATGAACCTTAAATATATCAGGTAAACTGTCTGATACGTTGTACATATATTGGCTTGGTTTGTAGTCCCGAGTTGTTGAATGAGACTGATTCTCCTGAAAAAATCATCTTATTGTCTTTGGTGCCTATTTTTTAAGAGCACTTATCAGTTTCTATTATGCGTCACAGTTTAAATAGAAAAGAGGAACTTTACTTTAAAATCTGTTGCATTACTATTATCAACTATTATATTTGTTCCATTATACACATTTTAATAATGTTTAGACTGATGGATGAAATCCTTGGAACTGAAAATTTAGATATTTTAGATGTTGATGAGTTAGGCTTTGTGAGGAGGAGAGCTGCAGGCTTTAGATTTTGTGTTTAGGCTTAATTTCTTACATTGCATAACTATACATTTGTGTTTCTCTCTCTTGTTATGCAAATTAAATAACACTTAACTACAATTAATTCCTGGAAAAAGGCAATATCACCACCATGTGACCAGTTTTCATAACAATCTATCCGAATGGTTCTGGATCCAAAAAAAAATTATTAATTTCTGATGATCTAAATGTAGCTTTAAATACTACTGACACGAGTGCACCTTATGGAGGTTGTAACTGGAGGCCTTGGAGACATCTCTCTTCATTTCATGTTCAGTAAAAACAGTCTGACTTGTAGATGACCTCCAGTCTGTGTTTCTCGACTGATCTAAGGAGCTTGGAAAGAAAAGCGTCTGGACTTCTTAAAGTTACTACGATGACCTGGATGACTGAGAACCTTCACAGACATATTTCTCGACTGATCAGAAACTGTTTTTCAATCTCAGATTTGGTTTTTATTCTGTGTGAAAAACACAATCCCGAATTGTAACAGAAAAGGGAAGGTGAAGACAAAAGAAATATGTAAAGAGTAGGATTTTTTTTCTTGTTGACGAAGGTGTTTTTACTTCTCCAGTGTATAAATGTGTGTAAGTAATTTTAAACCTTTGTCAGTTTAAATATTCTCCAACTGAATTTAAAAACAACTGTTTTTAAATAAATTTTAATAAAGGACTGTTTGTCTGGTACTATGTTGCACTGTTTATATGAAACACTAAAATGAAACTGTTTATATGTGTATAAACTGTACACTGTATCCAGAGAGTCAAAAACAAAAACAGAGGAAAAACAGACAGGAAGATGTTTTTAAAGCATCTTTGTAAACATTTATACAACAAGTGTATATTTTCTGTATATGAGGGGAAAAGCGAGAAGCAAAAAGACTTGTTCCAACTTTCATTCTATCAGTTTCTCCTCTCATCACATAAATACCTGAGCAGTGACAGAGACCGCGACTGCAGCATTTCTCATCAGAACACAAAATACTGAGAACCATCCACACTTTTGTGGGACTTCAGATCTCGTCCAGCATAATTCAAAGCCTTGTTGATAACAATAATATAAATTGTGTGGTGTGAAGTTGTGGAGAGTTGCAGGGTTGTAGGTCAAAGAACTAGTAAACACATGGGGGGAACACTCCCGCTTTGATCGTTTCTGCTCCTCTTCTCTTTTTTCTAAACGGAGCACCTGATGATTCTGAACTTTTCTTGTCCATCTTTCATTGGTTTTAATTTTGCACGCCAGTGAACACCCATCCCCCAGCCCGAGGATCACCACAACATAACCTAACAGACCTTAGTTCACAGATTCACTTTGTCTAAGATTTATTTCTGGGATTTCACACAACCCAGGATTCAAATCATGAATACATAAACGGCTTGGATTTACATCATTATGGATGAAATGTGAAATATTTGGAAGCAGCCACCCCTGTCCCCTTTCGACTCTAAATTATAAATTTTAAATTGTTATTGATCGTCGTCTCGTCTCTAT